ATATATATATTTTAAAAATAAACAGTACGAAAACAATGACTCCCACTTACGCGTGCGGGGGTCATAATAATATAAGAGAAATTTTCAAAGTGGAAAAAAAAAACCAACTAAATTACCTGTGGTAAATTATCTCCATTTAATAAAAATCAGCCTTTGCCATTTATTACTTGTAGTTTTTGTTCTATAGCAGGGATAATCAATTACAGTCCTCAAGGTCCGCAGTCCTGCATGTTTTACTTGTTTCTCTGCTCCAACACACCTGATTTGAATGAATAGATTATTATCAGGCTTCTGCAGCACTTGGAAGAGGTAATTCACTGACTGAATCAGATGTGCTGCATCGACTGTCTGTATCAATCAGCTCAAGAGGAAATTGTGGATTAAAGAGGAAAGGTTATGTCACCAGTTTGGTACTATTAATTAGCCTTATTATCGATGTTGTGGTACATTTTTCAGCAATCGCCCAGCTCTACTTTTATGACTGCTGGAAAAACAACAACAAAAAATTCACATGCATTCTTAACACATTATCAGATCCAACATCAGCTATCCCCAGACTGAAACAACTCCTAACTGCACTGCTCATAAATAATAATATGTATATGTTTTCAAAGACCTCTGCTCATATGATACTTACTGTTTGTATCAAAATACATCCCCAGCCACATGATGACGGTGCCGTTCCACACTTCTCGGCTGTACTTAATAACAAAGTCATTTTCCTCAGGACTCTGGATGGTCAGAAGCCCTAAAATAAATCATGAAAGTAACAACATAAGCATAGACGTACTGAGGCAAAGCTTTGATCTTTGGACAATAGATTTCACAACATTAGATTTACCAAAACCATGGCAGAGATCCAATGCTCTCTCATAAGTGTAGCTCTTGATGCTGTCTTCTTTTCCGTGAATAAAGTGGAAACATTTGTTTCCATTGGGCACCCAGGTGCGTCCATCTGCTGGGCAATCTGCAAGAAAAACAGACAATTTCTATCTGACATCATCAATCTAATGCAGGGCAGTGGCCCTTGAGGAACAGGATTAAAGACCAAACCATAAACATCATTTGCTCTGCTAAAAACTTTGTGCTTAGTGTTAAATGTCACAACTACTGAATTCAGTCAAGTTGACCTTGTGTCCCACACGTCTGCCCCACATTACATCACTCAGACGTGTGGGTGAGACGAGGAGGAGCTGTTGTGTTATAGAGTCTACAGTAAAAAAAAAAAAAAAACACTCATTTTAGGAAAACAAATGATAACTGTGCAAACAGCACTGCTAGCAGTAACAGCAGTGCCTGTGTCAGTAAATACAGCCTATCTTGTTATAAAGTTTCACAACAGACTGACAACACTTCCAGACCCAACATGCTACGTGACAAAGGTTGAAAGCTCAAAAGTTTAAAATTGAACGATAATCCATTTTTCCTGCGTCCTGTCTCCTATCTACCAGTCGGTGCTTGATTAGAAATACTAAGCTTGCATGATAAACAGCTTCAACATTTTCTCGCACGAGGCAAGGGCTTAGCTGTGGTGTGTTTACTGGCTGGAAAAATACAGGATTTTTAAACGGGTTTGAGTGGCCAATCGTCTTTAAAGACCAGTTACACTAAAAACCATCCAATATCAATCACAAGCTAATTCCTTGTGTATCTCTAATTGCTGAAAATTTACTTCAGAGGAACAGGAAAAAAAAAATCCTCATGTCAGACTCTTCAGAATGGTAAAGTATACAACAATAAAACTACAAGGTGAAAATAGTAAAGAGTGAGTTGTTTGTGAGGGTTGCCAGAACTTCTTAAAAAAAACAACATTAAAACTTAGGTTTGGTGGAACTATTCCATTTCTAAAATGTCTCTGCTTGGACAGATAAAACAAAAAAACAAAAAAAGGGACATTTAGGGCGCAAAGCACGTCATCATGTTTGGGGAAACAACATGTGAAGACAAACACGTCATGCTAATCTGTTGAGCACAGTGGTGGAGGGACGATGATGCGGGCTTGTTTTGTTTTACCACTGACCAGGTTACATTACAAAACAAAATGAGATCAAGAATGAAGTCCTGGGAGGAGTGGGGGTGGGGGGGGGGTTAAAGTTAACAGCAAGCCCATCTGTCTGACAGCTGAAGTTTGACCTGAACTGGATCAAGATCTCAAGCAAGTCAACAAATCTACAGGAAATGAAAACAATCAATGTATTGTAGAGGTCTTCAGCTCAACTTGTGCAGAAACTAATGCCAGCAAATCAACTGAAGGAACACTAAAGAAAAGTGAATTTTATTTTTCACATAAAAAAGTGGTGGGGGTATTATGTACTTCCAGGTACATAGTTCAATTCTGTACAGAATTCTAGTAACTATGTTACCTTCAGTAGTTATAAAAATGCTGTATATATCAAAAAATAATTTGAGTTTGCATCATCTAAACGCCTTAATATTGGCCTCTGTCCCTTTAAGAACCTCCTACCATTTCTGACACTCCTCCTTCAGCACGTCATCTTCACAACAATGCTTCAGGGGAAGGGTGCTCTGTGGGGCGGGAACTCTGCTGCAGACTGAGCTCTAGGGGAGGAGCTAGGTACAAATAGGCGGTGCTTTGTATCAGCAAGCATTTAGGCAGCTCCTCATGGCTACCACAGGAGATTCAAAAATTTCTCAAACACGCATGAGTGAGTCAACTCATCACCCTGGGTATGCTTTTGATGAGGGAATGACGTAATATAAATCTAAAAAAAATWGATTTTGCATAAAAACCAATACCCCCCCAAGGAAAAACAAATACAAAACAAAATAATAAAAAGGTAGGAAATAGAAGTAGTGCTGAACCCTACCACCACAAAGATTTAAAACTCCTCTCTCCCAGGTTGTTTACCCCAGTTTATTATAATTCTTGTAGTCTTGTTTTATTGCTACTTTTAATTCAGAATTTGTTATTTTACATGCATATTTTAGTATTTTGATGTTTTTATATGAATCTGCTGTCTGTTCTGTGTCCTTGAGTATCAGAAAGACTATACTAATAAAATTAATTATTATTAAAGCAGACAACCTTAGATCACCTACTTGGTTTTTCCAATGACTACTTCTGCGTTTGGATCACATTTATTTAAAAATAGGAACAACTTGGAGAAATATGTCAAGTGTTATTCATCCTAAGWTGTATTTATAACTTTGAGGACATGTTAAAAATCACATAACATTTTCTTGTCACCTTACATACAACCTTGGATAACAGAACKAGCTCTCAGTATTTAAAAGTGAACAAACCTTAGAAACTAATTGTRTAAAGATTAAACCTGTGATCAAAGACCAAAAGGCAAACAAACAAAAAAAAAACTAACAAAAAAAAAAAGCTTAAGGTAATCTGAAAAGTGCTCCCTCCCTGCYGAGGCTGTCTTTATGTGGTGAAACTTATTTAGGCCCAGGTTCCTGTGGTTGAAGAGGGAGACCACAGAGGAAAAGACCCTATACTTCCAGAAAACACAAGTTTCCTGCAGTCAAAGTATAGCTTCAGACTACAAAGAGTTTTTCAAAACAACTCATTTTTAGGTAACCTTTTGTCTCGGTGACAGACTTGTTTCAATGCATTTCCAGCGGGTAAAATAAGTATTGAACACGTCACCATTTTTCTCAGTAAATATATTACTAGAGGCGCTAATGACATGAAATTTTCACCAGATGTCGG